GTGATTAGTAGTCTCTAAAGCTTGAATTCGAGGTCAAGTGTTCCGTCACATTGTCACGCAGCACCTGTTCAGGTGGAGTGAATTGTGGGCGAGGAGATTAATCACCTGTGTTGTCATCTTGTCAGTCCAGAGGGACTTAAGTCTGGTGTACACAGACGTACAGTGTGTGTGTGTGTGTGGGTACACACGGGGAACAGGATACATAGTTTAGCCAAGGACGGAGAGGATGTCCATGTAATAATTCTTTTATTTCATTGTGGTAATCATTTTTGATCGTCCGTGGGACGGAGTGATATCATTTCCATGTGTGGTCTTGCAGGTGTGGAATTCCAACACTGAGCACTCAGGTATGTGTAACGCCAGTGGTTCCTGGCAATGATTATTGTGGAGTGTGCCACAGTGTGGCTTTAATTTCTTGTAGTGTTCCCAGGGCCGTGACAAGTGTGATTTATATAAATATATATTGTGGTTGCAGTATTAATTAACGTAATTTAGGTGAGTTTTGGTGAGTGACGAGGCCGTCTAGAGAGACCGCCCCCGCTCTGTCGAGTAACGTAACTCTTGAGAGTGTTTATCGGCATGCGTGACCGATAAATCACTCACCCATGTGATTTAAGGAGTGTGAGATTCTCCTTAGTGTTCCCAATAACGTTTGATAGCTGTAGGCTACATGTGTCAGCAATAATTATATATATATATATAATCGTAGTGTCACGGTGCCCAGTGTTATTGTGTTATTTACTGTGTGGTGATTGCAATATATTGACCTATGTTCTAGGGGTCATTTGCAGCAGTAAGTAAGTAAGTGTGTGCAGTATCCTAATATTTGGAAATTAGAGTACTTGCCGTGTGTGCTATTGCAAAGGGGGTTGTTATTTGATGGTGATTGTTGCTAGTGTTGAGCAATCACCGTATGTGATTGTAGTTCAGTAAAACCATTGTGGGGCAGGGTTCTAGAGGGTTCATGTCCTGTAGGTTATTTTACTAGGTTCTGCAGTATTGTCATTGCAACCGGATTGTAACGTAAATCACTGTGATTTGTTAGTGTGATTTGTCATTGTCGTGGGGGAACTCGGCTGTAGACGAGTACTTGGGTACAAATATATTCTCCTGGTTATCTGGTAGGACATCAAAGTCCAGTATTCAGTGAGGTGATTGCGAGGCAATTAATATAACGTAACCAAGGGAACGCCCATTGCTTTAAGAGAATTTGTTCTTCGACAATTTGAGTAACGTAGAATACGTTTGGGTTAATTTACTTTCCTGCAAGCAGCTACGGTAGTCTCAAGGAGCCTAGCCATCAGCCAGATAAGAATTAGAGTATTGTCTGTCGTAATTAACGGTCAGTGGGCCGGGTAATTGACGTGTTTCAGGAAGTCAAAGTAATTAACCTCGATCCTAGTTTGATCGACTCACACGAAGGCTACATTGTTCCATTAACGTAACGTCGTTATCTGCCCGGAAGTACCGGCACTTGATTGACTCGTGGGAGGAGTAGCGTCATTTTAGAATAACGTAAACGTGGGGCTAATTACTGTTATTAGTCGCCTGAATTGGTCTGAGTATGGAAGGCTCAGACGGAATTCATACCTTAATGTAAATTGCTGAGCCAGTGTGAAAGGTTGCGTATTTTTAATTGTTTAATTATTGATCTTGAGGATAGTAATTAATTACTCTAAAGGTAATCACGAGTGATTACCGTTCTCTTAGCACTTTGGACATTGCAAATCAGAGTTTACCATCGCAGAGTGATTAGTAACCGATTAACGTAAATTAACGTAACTAGTAAAGAGATTAATCAGCTGTCTGGAAGTACAGGGATTAATGGGATTTTCTCACTGAATGCTCGACGGGTAGAGTGTTGTTGATTTCCACGTTACTAGTGACAGTTGTAAGAGTTGTTAATTTAACGTAAATGTTATTGTGTTATTAACGTAAATCAATTGTTATTGATTGTTGATCGTCCGTGGGACGGAGTGTTAACGTAAGGATTAATTTGAGGAAGGGTGCTGGAGTTGCCAGTGAACCCATTAGTTATTGTTGTCATTGAAAGACTACTGATTTGATTGCATTGCAACCGCTGTTGCAGGTGTAGACTGCACTGAGGCGTGGAACAGTTAGGAGGTTACTGGAGACGTGTTTCAGAACCTACTGTGTCATTTGTTGTAATTGTGATTATAGATCTGTTAGTTCTTGTTTCTTGTTGATTCCTCTGTGGTCACGCTTATGTTCGAGTTAGTTCATTATGCAATCCGAGGGGCTGGTGTCTAGCTGTCATTGATAGTGTCAGAGGAAGGATTTCGAGTAACGTCATTGACATTTCTTTTTGTTTTGTTGTAGTAGTTAGTACTTTATTGAATAAACTAAGTTGTTATGGTTAACACTGTCTTTTCGTTACACCCCCACACATTATTATTGTTATGCAAATGTTCTTCACACTCGACTAAAATTGAGACTAGTTTTCTGAGCTTTGGATCAAATATACGGCACCACACAACAATAAATTATTGTTGTGAGAGCTCGTGACCTACTCGTTAGATTCGCTTCGGCGATTGGCGAAGGTCGGCGGCCTAGTGAGGGGGATTTCAATTTTCATTGGGGTCTCGGCGTTTGCTCGCGCCTAGTCAATTGTTCATACATGGTCCCAAAGTGAGGAATGAGCTGTTTACTACACTGGTGTGTTAGCTAAGCAAGTCCTTCCTCAGGCGACCTAGTTGAATATCACGACAGGAATAAAGGTTAAAGAATAAAGAAAGTTCTTAGAAATTTTCCGAGCTAAAATTCCTTATACCAATTTTCATTTATTCCACAAATTCTCAACTCAAAACTCTCACATGTGGCATGGTACATAAGGTTCTGTACGTTGTAGCATGGTACATGAGATTCTGTACAGTGTATCGTGGTATACGAGGCTCTGTACAGTGTATCATGGTACACGAGGCTCTGTACAGTGTATCATGGTACACGAGGCTCTGTACAGTGTAGCATGTTAGGCGAGGCTCTGTACAGTGGTACATGGTAGGCGAGGCTCTGTACAGTGAAGCATGTTAGGCGAGGCTCTGTACAGTGAAGCATGTTAGGCGAGGCTCTGTACAGTGATACATGTTAGGGGAGGCGCTGTACAGTGGTACATGGTACACGAGGCTCTGTACAGTGAAGCATGTTAGGCGAGGCTCTGTACAGTGAAGCATGTTAGGCGAGGCTCTGTACAGTGATACATGTTAGGGGAGGCGCTGTACAGTGATACATGGTGGGGCGAGGCTCTGTACAGTGATACATGTTAGGCGAGGCTCTGTACAGTGATACATGTTAGGCGAGGCTCTGTACAGTGATACATGGTAGGCGAGACTCTGTACAGTGATACATGGTAAGCGAGACTCTGTACAGTGATACATGGTAAGCGAGACTCTGTACAGTGATACATGGTAAGCGAGACTCTGTACAGTGATACATGTTAGGCGAGACTCTGTACAGTGATACATGGTAGACGAGGCCCTGTACAGTGATACATTGGACATGCTAATGTTCCTCATAGCTTCATGTTAACTACATAGTCTCTGGCTGACCAACATGATGGGATTGAAATCTTCTGAAGCTGCTGCTGTTGACAGTTACTTGGAGGTGGTATTGTGGTGGTGAGAACACGAGCCATGGAGGTGGTTTACCTTCCTTTAATATTTACATTTTGACCTTTTACTAGTCCTTAGTTGTGTGTATCTTCTGTTGAGGAGGAAGATAATGGAACACACTGTGTACACTGATGGATGTGTACGAGGTCACAGCTGATGGCAAACTGTTTCCTGTTGATTGACAGTTGAGAGGCGGGACCATATAGCCGAAGCTCAACCCCCGCAAGCACAATTAGGTGAGTACTGGTTCACCATTCATATTGGGGCTTTGGAGCTTTGCAGAGTTTAAGAACAGCAGTGTTATGTACTCTCACACCTAGTGCACATTCTTGTTTATCAATAAATACTCACATCTATATATATAAATATAGGATATAGAAGCATTATTTATTATTGCCTTTATTAACTAGATATATACAGAACACTATATATTCTTTTATTGGTGAAGTGCACTGAAGCATTGAAAGCGTAATGACCACTCTGTAGTTACTCTGAAGTGGAGAATATATTTACATCAGAGCCTTTAGTGTGTGAACATTGCATAATATTACATGTATTATTACTCTTTACTTTGTTACTTTGTGAAGTAAGTGTTAACTACAAGGAAATTATTGTAAGATACATATAACCAGCCACCACGACACTTGCTCTCAGGTGTGTTTAACCCCGGCAGAGAAGAGTTATTTCCAACTACCTCGTCCATATGTGTGGAGGGAGTGTTGTGGAGCAGCATGCTTGTTAAACACTGCTCCCTGCATGTCTGAAGACTCGTCAGTGTGGACAAACTCCTGTAACTCTCACCTGCTAATATAGAAGAGTACAGTGTAACTCTGACCTGTCAATACGGTAGAGTACAGTGTAGCTCTCACCTGTTAATACAGTAGAATACAATGTAGCTCTGACCTGATAATACAGAAGAGTGCACAGTAGCTCTCCCCAGTCAAAACAGTAGAATTCTGTGTATGTGTGAGCTGACAATACATTGGACTACAGTGTAGGTGAGAGCTGACAATACATTAGACTACAGTGTAGGTGAGAGCTGACAATACATTAGACTACAGTGTAGGTGTGAGCTGACAATACATTAGACTACAGTGTAGGTGTGAGCTGACAATACATTAGACTACAGTGTAGGTGAGAGCTGACAATACATTAGACTACAGTGTAGGTGTGAGCTGACATTGGACTACAGTGTAGGTGTGAGCTGACAATACATTGGACTACAGTGTAGGTGTGAGCTGACAATACATTAGACTACAGTGTAGGTGTGAGCTGACAATACATTAGACTACAGTGTAGGTGAGAGCTGACAATACATTAGACTACAGTGTAGGTGTGAGCTGACAATACATTAGACTACAGTGTAGGTGTGAGCTGACAATACATTAGACTACAGTGTAGGTGTGAGCTGACAATACATTAGACTACAGTGTAGGTGTGAGCTGACAATACATTAGACTACAGTGTAGGTGTGAGTGGACAATACATTAGACTACAGTGTAGGTGTGAGTGAGACAATACATTAGACTACAGTGTAGGTGTGAGCTGAGCTGACAATACATTAGACTACAGTGTAGGTGAGAGCTGACAATACATTAGACTACAGTGTAGGTGTGAGCTGACAATACATTAGACTACAGTGTAGGTGTGAGCTGACAATACATTAGACTACAGTGTAGGTGTGAGCTGACAATACATTAGACTACAGTGTAGGTGTGAGCTGACAATACATTAGACTACAGTGTAGGTGTGAGCAGGCAGGAGAGTACACCCATGATAACTGTGAGGCCTGAGTGTAGGTGTGTACACAGACGCCAGGACTGTGTACACACAGACGTCAAGACTGTGTACACACAGACGTCAAGACTGTGTACACACAGACGTCAAGACTGTGTACACACAGACGTCAAGACCGTGTACACACAGACGTCAAGACTGTGTACACACAGACGTCAAGACCGTGTACACACAGACGTCAAGACTGTGTACACACAGACGCCAAGACCGTGTACACACAGACGCCAAGACCGTGTACACACAGACGCCAAGACCGTGTACACACAGACGCCAAGACCGTGTACACACAGACGCCAAGACCGTGTACACACAGACGCCAAGACCGTGTACACACAGACGCCAAGACCGTGTACACACAGACGCCAAGACCGTGTACACACAGACGCCAAGACCGTGTACACACATACGCCAAGACCGTGTACACACAGGCGTCAAGACTGTGTACACACAGACGTCAAGACCGTGTACACACAGACGCCAAGACCGTGTACACACAGACGCCAAGACCGTGTACACACAGACGCCAAGACCGTGTACACACAGACGCCAAGACCGTGTACACACAGACGTCAAGACCGTGTACACACAGACGTCAAGACCGTGTACACACAGACGTCAAGACCGTGTACACACAGACGTCAAGACCGTGTACACACAGGCGTCAAGACCGTGTACACACAGGCGTCAAGACCGTGTACACACAGACGTCAAGACCGTGTACACACAGACGTCAAGACCGTGTACACACAGGCGTCAAGACCGTGTACACACAGGCGTCAAGACTGTGTACACACAGGCGTCAAGACTGTGTACACACAGGCGTCAAGACTGTGTACACACAGGCGTCAAGACTGTGTACACACAGGCGTCAAGACTGTGTACACACAGGCGTCAAGACTGTGTACACACAGGCGTCAAGACTGTGTACACACAGGCGTCAAGACTGTGTACACACAGGCGTCAAGACTGTGTACACACAGGCGTCAAGACTGTGTACACACAGGCGTCAAGACTGTGTACACACAGGCGTCAAGACTGTGTACACACAGGCGTCAAGACTGTGTACACACAGGCTCCAAGGCTGTGTACACACAGGCGTCAAGACTGTGTACACACAGGCTCCAAGGCTGTGTACACACAGGCTCCAAGGCTGTGTACACACAGGCTCCAAGGCTGTGTACACACAGGCTCCAAGGCTGTGTACACACAGGCTCCAAGGCTGTGTACACACAGTGCTCAGGTACCAGCCATTGTGACGACAATACTTACATCTGACTATTGACCTGAACGTTGCCCAACTGTCCTCACCTGCATCAGTCTCCTCTCAACCCCGACCATCCAGCTCTGACTAATACTTATCTATTCAAGGTTCCCTACAAATAAACTTCAAAAATCTATGACCGGCCTATATATTGTAATGCCCTCTGCAACACGGTACATTCTGAAATCTACACTACTGTTAAATGTCCCGTAAGCCTCTGTGACATTGTGTTGATTACTTGTATATAATGGAGGGTTATTGTCCAGATGTATCATTCATGAATTTGTAGGCGCTGACTGCTGGCAGTAGTGGTCATGGTGGGGCGTGTGACAGAGGTGTAGCAGGTGTCGTATACCCACTCGGGCAGGTGGGTAGCCACCAGTATCCTCAGTCTGGTGGGACGTCACTGGCGTGTGGCAGAGGTGTAGCAGGTGTCGTATACCCACTCGGGCAGGTGGGTAGCCACCAGTATCCTCAGTCTGGTGGGCAGGTCCATGGGCAAGTAGCGTGCCCGCGGGAACCGCTGGATCAGGGCCGCCGCCATTGCTTCCACCACCTCACTCACCTCACAAACCTGAGGCACAGAGACCACGCTGAGGGGCATAGTGGTGGTGAGGGTCATTGTGGTGGTGAGGGGCATAGTTATGGTGAGGGGCATAGTGGTGGTGAGGGGCATAGTTGTGGTGAGGGGCATAGTGGTGGTGAGGGGCATAGTTGTGGTGAGGGCATAGTAGTGGTGAGGGGCATAGTTGTGGTGAGGGGCATAGTTGTGGTGAGGGCATAGTGGTGGTGAGGGGCATAGTGGTGGTGAGGGGCATAGTTGTGGTGAGGGTCATAGTGGTGGTGAGGGGCATAGTGGTGGTGAGGGGCATAGTGGTGGTGAGGGTCATAGTGGTGGTGAGGGCCATTGTAGTGGTGAGGGGCATAATTGTAGTGAGGGGCATAGTGGTGGAAAGGGGGCATAGTGGTGGTGAGGGGCATAGTGGTGGTGAGGGCATAGTGGTGGTGAGGGGCATAGTGGTGGTGAGGGGCATAGTTATTGTAAGGGCATAGTGGTGGTGAGGGGAGGGCCATTGTGGTGGTGAGGGGCATAGTTATGGTGAGGGGCATAGTGGTGGTGAGGGTCATAGTGGTGGTGAGGGGCATAGTGGTGGTGAGGGGCATAGTTGTGGTGAGGGGCATAGTGGTGGTGAGGGGCATAGTGGTGGTGAGGGGCATAGTTGTGGTGAGGGGCATAGTGGTGGTGAGGGGCATAGTGGTGGTGAGGGGCATAGTTGTGGTGAGGGGCATAGTGGTGGTGAGGGCCATTGTGGTGGTGAGGGGCATAGTTATGGTGAGGGGCATAGTGGTGGTGAGGGTCATAGTGGTGGTGAGGGGCATAGTGGTGGTGAGGGGCATAGTGGTGGTGAGGGGCATAGTGGTGGTGAGGGGCATGGTGGTGGTGAGGGGCATAGTTGTGGTGAGGGGCATAGTGGTGGTGAGGGGCATAGTGGTGAGGGGCATAGTTGTGGTGAGGGGCATAGTGGTGGTGAGGGTCATAGTGGTGGTGAGGGGCATAGTGGTGGTGAGGGGCATAGTGGTGGAAAGGGGGCATGGTGGTGGTGAGGGGCATAGTTGTGGTGAGGGCATAGTGGTGGTGAGGGGCATAGTGGTGGTGAGGGGCATAGTTGTGGTGAGGGGCATAGTGGTGGTGAGGGTCATAGTGGTGGTGAGGGGCATAGTGGTGGTGAGGGGCATAGTGGTGGTGAGGGTCATAGTGGTGGTGAGGGCCATTGTAGTGGTGAGGGGCATAATTGTAGTGAGGGGCATAGTGGTGGAAAGGGGGCATAGTGGTGGTGAGGGGCATAGTGGTGGTGAGGGGCATAGTGGTGGTGAGGGGCATAGTGGTGGTGAGGGGCATAGTTATTGTAAGGGGCATAGTGGTGGTGAGGGGCATAGTGGTGGTGAGGGGCATAGTGATGGTGAGGGGCATAGTGGTGGGCATTGTGGTGTTGAGGGGCATAGTTGTTGTGAGGGGCATAGTGGTGGTGAGGGGCATAGTGGTGGTGAGGGGCATTGTGGTGTTGAGGGGCATAGTGGTGGTGAGGGGCATAGTGGTGGTGAGGGCCATTTTGGTGGTGAGGGGGCATTGTGGTGGTGAGGGGCATAGTGGTGGAAAGTGGGCATGGTGGTGGTGAGAGGTATACTGGTGGTGAGGGCCATAGTTGTGGTGAGGGTCATAGTGGTTGTAAGGGGCATAGTGGTGATGATGGGCATGGTGGTGGCGAAGGGTATAGTGGTAGTGAGAGACATAATGGTGGTAAGGGGCATAGTGGTGGGGAAGGGCATTGTGGTGGTGAGCGACATAGTGGTGATGGGGGGGGATATTGGAGGTGAGGGGCATAGTGGTGGTGAGGGGCATTGTGGTGGTGAGGGTCATACTGATGGTGAGGGCGATAGTTGTGGTGAGGGGCATAGTTGTGGAGAGGAACATAGTGGTGGTGAGAAGAATAGTTGTGGTGAGAGGCATAGTTGAGGGGAGGGGAGTTGCATTGTAGTGGTGAGGGGCATAATTGTGGTGAGGGGCATAGCGATGGTGAGGGGAATAGTTCTGGTGAGAGGCATTGTGGTGGTGAGGTGCATTGTGGTGGTGAGGGGGCATAGTTGAGGTGAGGGGCATATTGATGGTGAGGGGCATAGTGGTGGTGAGGGGCAATGTGGTGGAGAGGGGCATAGTTGTAATGAGAGGCATAACGGTGGTGAGGGGGCATAAGTGGTGGTGAGAGGCTCTGTGGTGGAACAACTTTTGCCAACTATAATCAAATCTAGCTTTGGATCTGCTAGGTTAGGTTAAGTAAGGTTGTGTAAGGTAGGTTGGAATAGGTGAAAAGTGGGTAAAATTGGCTTTGGCTGTTCTATGATACAAAACATTTTGGGTTTATTTGTGAAAATTGTTTTAAATTAGGTTGAATTTAGGTGGGATAGTTCAAATTTCGCCAACTTTAATCAAATCTAGCTTTGGGTCTGCTAGGTCAGGTTAGATAAGGTTTATAGGCTAGGTTGGGATAGTTGGAAATGTGGGTAAAATGACCTTTGGCTGTGCTTCGATACAAAACATTTTGGGTATATAAGTGGAAATTGTCTTAAATTTGGTTAAATTTAGGTTGATTTTATTTTAATTTAGTTAAAATCTCGCCAACTTTAATCAAATCTAGCTTTGGATATGCTAGGCCAGGTTAGGTGAGGTTGTGTAGGGTAGGATATATAATATCTTAGAGGTTATGAACTAGCATTGTTCATAAAATTGTGTAAATTCGCCTATTTGGGGGGTTCGAGCTATAGCTAACTTATGTAATGTATGGACAGAGGTGACATAGGCTTGAATGTGAAGATATGGGATGCTCATATTTAGTTTGATCAGCTTTTGCTAGGTTGAATTTAGTTAAATTTATGTAGTATAAGTATAATTTTTGATAGATTTAGATGAATTTAGGTTTAATATGATGTATTTTGATAGGATATAGTAAATTTACTTAAATTATCATAGAAAATACTGACTTCACCTAACCCCACCTGCCCTAACATAACTAAGGCTAGAACCAATAAGTTAGTTGAATGGTGTGCCTAAATGAATATGGTGGCATGATTGGAGAGGATGTAGCAAGTGGGATAATAATAAGGTATTAAACACAATGGACATATGATGGATGAATAGTCTAGCACTAATAATGTTGAAACATTAATGGAAAATGTATGTGTGTTTTATATTGGGCTCATAGGAAGTCAGATGTACCATTCATATATGTTTGAAATTCTGACTTTGGGGAGTTGGTTTAACTCGGCATATTATAAATGACGTCCTTATCATACCTAGACAAATATTATCTAAATTGTGTATTGTTTGACCTAGTTGGCTGTAATAGTTTTTGTACAAGTAGCACAATTATTATAGTTGTGCAAGTTGTGTATTAAATGTGCAGATTATGTATTTTACATAAGTTGTATGATTATATCAATTATGTATTGTTTATATTCCTATAAATTATGTATTGTTTGTGCAAGTTGTGTATTAATTGCGCATGTTGTGTAATTGTATATGGACGAATTGTGTATTTACATCTGTTGTTTTGATTGTTATTGCTCAAGTTTTGTAATTATATAGCAAGTTTGCTTATATTAATTGTGCAAAGATGTGTAATAGTTACACAATTTGTGTAATAATTGTCCATGTTTTATAATCGTTTTGTGTGAATAGTGCATTTACGCAAGTTGTGTTTTTAACTGGCTGAAGTGAAACTGGTGCAACTGTATTTTTGTGTGCAAATTGTGTATTTGTGTAAGTACTGTATATGTAATCTGAAAAAAAATAGATCGTCTTGTGTAAGTGTGAAAGTGTATTTTGGTTTATGAGACAATGTGTGGGTATTTTGTGAAAATTATTTGTGAAATTGTGTAATTTTAGAGAAAGCACATTTTGATTGTCTTAATGTATAAGCAATTTGCTATATTTGTGAAAATACAATACTTTGGGTAAATATTATACTTGAAGTGTAAAGGCAATATTTGTGCAAATGGTATATTTTTTGTGCAACTGACATATTTTGTATGTAAATGACATATTTTGTCTATAAATGATATATTTTGTGTGTGAATAACATATTTTGTGTGTAAATAATATATTTTGTGCATAAATGGCATATTTGGTGTGTAAATGCTGTATTTTCTGTGTAAATGTGATTTAGTGTGGAAATGCTTTGTGTGTAAATGTGAATATGTTTAATACTGTGTTTTTTATTTTGTGTATTTTTAGTGCAAGTGTTGCATTTTGTGTCAATGATGTAAAATTCATATATATTTTTGTGCGCCTTATCACAACCTTAGCTTTTTATGAATAATTACAATTATATTTATTTCAATGGGACATATACACCCTGGTTTATCCATTTGAATAGTATGCAGGTGGGATATTCAATAATATTTTGGACTTGAATAATATGGGGTACCTTGCTGATTGGTATGCATTAATATAAATTAACAGTAAAATTAATGAAGAATACTTGGGGTGAATGAGCTGTGGGGTTACTGAAATCTTGTTCTTAATACATTTTAGGGATTCATATGGCATAAATTACATCTGATTAATGGGGAAATAGTAGCAAAAACAAGGCTATTATCTATGAATGTATGGGTTGTGGAGAATGTGTAGGTGTGTATGCTTGTAATTTTGACTGCTGGTTTAGAAACAAGTTAACTGATATGCGTAGCACGATTAGGATTTTTGAGGTGTAGAAATAATTAGCCTATGAATATAGTGGCTAGCATCCAGCTGAGTTGCTAGCTGGATGAATTGCGGTGCGACATTTGGATAGCTATTTGATGGATGTGAAGACAGTTGACTGTACTGAGGACTCTGAACATGGCTACTAATCCGCTGAGCTGTCACATGTACGGTAACTACTTGCGGATTATAGTACGATATCTGGCTACAGCGTTTCATAATTGCTGTTGTGTAAAAAACTAGAATGTGAGCTATTTATTATAAACTATTATTGTAAACTAATATTGGAAGTGGGGTTCCTTGATTGTTTTAAGCATAGGTTGGAGATTTATATGAATGAGATTGAGTGAAGCAGACGATTAATGAATGAAAATATTATGAGACTACGAGTTACTGACGAATAAAAATTGGAAACACCCCTGCGCCAACTAACTGCCGTTGGTAAAACATGAACACACCCCTGCGCCAACTCGCTTCCGTCGGAAAAAGCATAACGGTAGCGAGTTGGGGCCATTTCTACTACTATGGGCATGGTGGTGGTGAGGGACATGGTGGTGGTGAGGGGCATAGTGGTGGTGAGGGGCATAATGGTGGTGAGGGGCATAGTGGTGGTGAGGGGCATAATGGTGGTGAGGGGCATAGTGGTGGTGAGGGGCATAATGGTGGTGAGGGGCATAGTGGTGGTGAGGGGCATAATGGTGGTGAGGGGCATAGTGGTGGTGAGGGGCATAATGCATAATGGTGGTGAGGGGCATAATGGTGGTGAGGGGCATAATGGTGGTGAGGGGCATAATGGTGGTGAGGGGCATAATGGTGGTGAGGGGCATAGTGGTGGTGAGGGGCATAGTGGTGGTGAGGGGCATAGTGGTGGTGAGGGGGCATAGTGGAGATGAAGGGGGCATAGTGGTGGTGAGAGGCATGATGGTGGTTAGGGACATAGTAGTGGTGAGGAGGTATAGTGGTGGTGAGGGCCATAGTTGAGGTGAGGGGCAGAGTGACGGTGAGCGGCATACTGGTGGTGAGGGGCATTGTACCAACTACTCACAGTCTGCCAGGACAGACAGTGCCAAGAACTCACAGTCTGGCAGGACAGACAGTACCAACTACTCACAGTCTGCCAGGACAGACAGTGCCAAGAACTCACAGTCTGGCAGGACAGACAGTACCAACTACTCACAGTCTGCCAGGACAGACAGTGCCAAGAACTCACAGTCTGGCAGGACAGACAGTACCAACACTCACAGTCTGCCAGGACAGACAGTACCAACACTCACAGTCTGCCAGGACAGACAGTACCAACACTCACAGTCTGCCAGGACAGACAGTACCAACACTCACAGTCTGCCAGGACAGACAGTACCAACACTCACAGTCTGCCAGGACAGACAGTACCAACAACTCACCCCAGCGTTGGTGTAGGACATCATGAGCGCCACGCGACTGTCGAAGTAGGTCTTGGTGAAGTCTTGCCTGACGTCCTCCCCCATGACCGCCCACATGGCCTCGCCCTGCGCCCTCACGCTCTCGTCCGTGAAGATGCTGGTGGCTGACACACGAACTGGTCTTAGTCATCTGGTACGGCATGCTAGTTGACGCTCCTAGTGGCTAGCCACCTGGTTGTTACAGCAACGTGGCTAACTGGCGATTGATGGTTAGTGGATGGTTGGTGGAGGAAGGTGGTTAATTGGTGATTAGTGGATGGTTGTTAGAGGAAGGTGGCTAAACTGGTGATTGATGGTTAGTGGATGGTCGTGTCTTAGGGGGGGATGAAATGATGAAAGCCAAGTCCAAAAGGCACACGGGAACCAGGTATACACGGGAACCAGGTACACACGGGCGCCAGGTACACACGGGCGCCAGGTACACACGGGCGCCAGGTACACATGAGATCCAGGTAACATATGGGAGCCAGTTACACACGGGAGCCAGGTAACATACGAGAGCCAGGTACACACGGGAGGCAGGTACACACGGGAGCCAGGTAACATACAAAAGCCAGGTAACACACGGGAGCCAGGTAACACACGGGGGCCAGGAAACACACGGGAGCCAGGTACACACGGGAGCCAGGTAACACACAGGAGGCAGGTACACACGGGAGCCAGGTACACATGGGAACCAAGAAACACACGGGAACGATGTACACACGGGAGCCAGGTAACACACGGGATCTAGGTACACACGGGAGTCATGTACACACGGGAGCCAGGTACACATGGGAGTCAGGTAACACACGGGAACGATGTACACACGGGAGCCAGGTAACACACGGGATCTAGGTACACACGGGAGTCATGTACACACGGGAGCCAGGTACACATGGGAGCCAGGTAACACACGGGAACGATGTACACACGGGAGCCAGGTAACACACGGGATCTAGGTACACACGGGAGTCATGTACACACGGGAGCCAGGTACACATGGGAGCCAGGTAACACACGGGAGCCAGGTACACACGGGAGCCAGGTAACACACGGGAGCCAGGTACACACGGGAGCCAGGAAACACACGGGAGCCAGGAAACACACGGGAGCCAGGTAACACAACACACGGGATCCAGGTACACACGGGAGCCAGGTACACACGGGAGCCAGGTACACACGGGAGCCAGGTACACACGGGAGCCAGGTACACACGGGAGCCAGGTACACACGGGAGCCAGGTACACACGGGAGCCAGGTACACACGGGAGCCAGGTACACACGGGAGCCAGGTACACACGGGAGCCAGGTACAGGTACACACGGAAGCCAGGTAACACACGGGATCCAGGTAACACACGGGATCCAGGTACACACGGGATCCAGGTACACACGGGAGCCAGGTACACACGGGAGCCAGGTACACACGGAAGCCAGGTACATACGGGAGCCAGGTACACACGGGCGCCAGGTAACACACGGGCGCCAGGTAACACACGGGAGCCAAATAACACACGGGAGCCAGGTACACACGGGATCCAGGAACACACAGGAGCCAGGTACACATAGAATTCAGGTACACACGGGAGCCAGGTACACACCGGAACCAGGTACACACTGGAACCAGGTACACACGGGAACCAGGTACACACAAGATCCAGGTACACACGGGAGCCAGTTACACACGGGAGCCAGGTAACACACGGGAACCATGTACACACGGGAGCCATGTACACACGGGAGCCAGGCAACACACGGGAGCCAGGTACACACGGGAGCCAGGTAACATACGAGAGCCAGGTACACACGGGAGGCAGGTACACACGGAAGCCAGGTAACACACGGGAGCCAGGTACACACGGGAGCCAGGTACACACGGGAGCCAGGTACACACGGGAGCTAGGTAACACACGGGAGCCAGGTAACGCACGGAAGCCAGGTAACACACGGGCTCAGAGCTTATTTTGTTAGCTTGTTAGCTCAGAGCTTATTTTGCTTATGAGTTAGCTTATTTTGTTAACTTTTTGATGACATAGAGAATAACTTTTATGTCTTAGAGAAGAACATTGATGGCTTAGAGAGAATATCTTTGATGAAAGATGTCTTAGATTAACTTTGACGTCTCTTGGAATAACTTTGATGACTTTGAGAACAAGTTTGATAGCTCTGAGAAAGACTTTGTTGTCTTAGAGAATAACTTTGTTGTCTTAGAGAATAACTTTGAGGACTTAGAGTATTAATATGTTGAACGAAAGTGAGTTAGAGATTACCTTTGTTAACTCTGAGATTAACTTTGATGAACGAGAAAATACTTTTTGATGGCATCGAGAATAATTTTGATAGCTCTGAGAATAACTTTTATGCCTCTGAGATTAACTTTAATGAACGAAGATGTCTTAGAAAAATTCTCTGATGAACGAAAGGTTACTTAGAGAATAGCATTTTGATGACTGAGATTAACTTTTTAATGACTCTGATAATAACTTTGAGGATGCGAGTAAATTTTTTGAGTGTTTGAGAGTGTCTTTTGTTATCTCGAAGAGTAACTTTGGAGTTACGGAGAGCACCTTTGTCTATTTTTCTTACTTAACGACATATAATTTTAGTTACGAAAGTGATGAAAAAGTTACATTTGACTATTTTTCTTACTTAGCGACATATAATTTTAGTTACGAAAGTGATGAAAAAGTTACATTTGACTATTTTAGTTGAGGAAAGACAAGAAAAAAATATGACGACAGTGACTATTTTAGTGCTATACAAAGTATAAATGTCAGTTAAGAACGACGATGATAGATATCTTTGACTATATTTTCTTACTTGACGAAAACATAATGGCTGTTACGAAATGATGAACGAGACTATTTTCAATTACTTGACGATGGATAAAGTTAGTTATGAACAGTATTGGAAAGATTCCTTTGACAATTTTTAGCTAAGAGAAAGGTTGTTTTAGTTAAGAACGGTGTTGAATGAGATTAATCCTGACTATTTTTAGCTAAGAGAAAGGTTGTTTTAGTTAAGAACGGTGTTGAATGAGATTAATCCTAACTATTTTTGGTTGATTGGATAATAAGTTTAGTTGAGAAATGACGAAAGTGACAATGTTTTAGTTGTTTGGCGAAAGATTTTTAGTTAAGAAGTTACAAGAAAGGTTTGTCTTTGTAAATTTGGAACTGAATAAAGTGTAGATTTGTTTAAGAACGGGGTTGGTAGAACTATTAAGTTGACTACGAGAATTACTTTGATATAGTTTTGAAAATAAAACTTGGTGACTAAAATTGTTGAGGAAACTGTATTGCTGATGCTAATATTTGACAAAGAACTATTTAGTGAATGGAAGAAACAAATTGGTTTAAAGAAACAAAGAACAAAAAATTGAGGTTAAGTAGGGGAATGAACACAGTGAACACAGATAACATGTAAGAAAAAAGTTGAAGAATAGAGTGAACATGCAGGGAATATGAACTTATAGAGAATATGAAGACATGATAAGGAACATAGGGAATACAAGAATGAACACTGAACATGTGAAGAACAAGCTAAGAACATTGAGAACATGAATATTGAGTATAAAAGTTATACAGAGAACATATGATGTACATGAAAACATGACAAAGAACATAGTGAACATACGGGGAAAATGGTAGAAAAAATTTGAACTGAGCATGCTGTGAACATTTGTAGAACATGGAATGAACACAGAAACCATGGAAAAAAATGTGAAGAACACAGCTGAATATAGAGAACATATGCAAATACAGTATGATGATTATTGAAGGTTTGGATACGTTGGGGATGAAAGATAATTACACAGGTTAGGGTTTTGTGAGTACTCTGATAAGAATTAGGCTGGAGAGGGACTTGATCGGATATATTTATGTTCGATGATCTAAGACAGAGGAAATAGAGCTTGGGTAATGTCCAGATTAATTTTACTACGTTAGAAATAAGGTGATCTTAAATCTCAGGGTGATTTAGTTGGAAAATAAAGAACTTGTACAAAATGAACTAAGCTGGGGGACAAGAGTTGAAACTTGATAACTGAACTGGTTTTTATTTACTATGTCTGAAAATGTAGTTGGGTGTTTAAATCTCAGGGGGATTTGGACTGGTAGTAATGAATTTACAGGAGTGAACTTGGACAGAGGACAAGAGCTAGAGTTTTATAACTGTTTACATCATATTTACTATGTCTGAAATACAGAGGGTAAAAATTTCAGGGAAATTGATGGGTTATTTACAAAGATACGAGAGAACTAAGGTGGGGATGAGAGCTGGAGCTCGTTAACTGACTTGATCTTATTTACTACGACTGAAATATGACTGTTTAAAATATCAGGGGGATTGGACTGCTAGTAGCGAAAATGTTGTCTCTGTCAAATTTGGGTCTTCAATTGGACTCTGATTAATTTCGATCAAGAACTGGACTCTGATGAATTTTGCTCTCAAAGTAGACTCTAGCGAATTTGAGCATAAACTGGACTCTGACGAAAATTGGGTATAAAATGGACTCTGTCAAATTTTCACAGATTACAGGACTCTGATGAAATTTGAGCTTAAAACTGTCTCTGACTAATTTTGCTCTCAAAGTAGACTCTGGCGAATTTCTGTTGATAATTGGACTCTGATGAAATTTGAGTTTAAAACTGTCTCTGACTAATTTTGCTAGCAAACTGGACTCTGTTCATTTTAGGTATAAAATGGTCTCTGACGAAATTCTGTCTATAACTGGGCTCTGTTCAATTTTGGTCTTTACAGGTGAAATAGCCGTATATGGATATAAAACTAAATGTTATGGCTAAGTTGTCTGTTTTCCTTAACAAAACATCTAAGACAATATTCTCTGAAAATGGTCTTTTTACAAATTCGGTCATAAACATATAAATAAACTTCTATGATTATTTGAAACTCTGAAAATAACTGTAAGGAAATAGGAAGAGAGAGAGAGAGAGAGAGAGGGACGGTCCAGATATTATAGAGAAGATAAGATAAGATAAGATAAGAGGTAACCTGCATGCGGCGTCTGGCTGACGGTCTAAAGTAAACACAGGCGGGCCACAGATTGTGAGTTAAGGGGGAAGGGAGGGGGGTGTGAGGTATATGAGCGGAGATGCAGGGGGAGGGAAAGGCGAGGGAGGGGGGGATGGCAGGGAAA